CGACGGTAAACAGAAGTTGTGTTGCAACTCTTGCCCGTCAGCAGTAAGAACACGCAGTGTCACACGGATACATGTATAATGGTTGGTTTTCCACAGTTCAGGGTCAGTCAGTCTGTCACCATTTTTTAATGAATGTTTTTTTCACAGCTCGTGTCCGTCTGAGCTGGTTGCAGAATGTTAAATTGGTTTGTATGTTAGTTTGTGAGTAGATCTCACCAGTAAACAGACTATCATTAGACACAGCCATATCATTCTCTTCAAAAATGTCATCCAGTGGTAACTGAGTTCATGGTGTCTGTGCTCAATCAGTGCTTAGAACAAACATGGAGCACCTTGTCAAAACAAAGTCTAGGAACTATTCAAAAATGACTGTAAATTAATCATGAAATCAAGCAACCTTAATACAATGTTGTAGCAGGATATGCCACCAGAAGAGCTTGGTGTTGTGGATACACAGTCTGATTTGAAGTGTTCAGAAAAGTGGAGATTTGCCAACTGCAAAAACCACAGTGTGTAGTTCTCATCTCTTCACATTCTCATCAAAACATTCAGTGACCTTTCATTCTTTATTTTGACTTTAGAATCTCTAGGGAATCTATTTTTAAAATAGGCAAAACAATAAAAAACAGGGGGAATAAAAGGAAAGAATTTCAAAAATGGCCTTTGCTAGTGTTTAATTTATGCTCATGTCAAGACGGTTGTTTTTGTTTCTTTTTATTCATGGCAGGTTTGGAGAGGGTAACAGCCTTTGTACGTGAGACAAAAATGTGCTTGGATTTATGTCATACTACCCCTTAAAAAGTGCGTTGGAACATGATTGACAGCTTGGTTCAAGAAAAGAACCTTCCACCGTTTGGGTCCAGCTGAAGTTTATGCTCTGTCTGGACAGTCCACTCTTCTCTTTCCATCAGTGCTCAGGGTCGGGGTCTCTCAGTACTTACCTGTCAGAGAACAGATGCTGCTGCAGGCGTTTCTCAGGCTGCAGCAGCAGATGATCTCCTTGAACGTCTTCCTCATCTCCTGACTCCTAAAGGCATAGATGAGCGGGTCGATCACAGAGTTGCACATGATGAGGATGAGGTACATGTTGAAGTGGGACATGAAGCACACGCAGTAGAGGTTCCGTGGGCAGGAGATCATCAGAATCAGGTGGAGGAAGAAAGGGGCCCAGCAGACAATGAAGATGCCCAGCAGGATGGTGAGGGTGATGGCCCCCTTCATGCTGGCCCGCTGGTGGACGGAGTTGTAGCCGGGCAGAGCGGCGATGCGCTTGACGTGAGAGCGAGCCAGCATGAACATGTGGCTGTAGAGGGAGGCCATGATGAGAAGCATGGCGAAGAACATGGAGATCAGGCAGATGATGACGGGAGTGGAGTCGGAGTAGATGATGAAGATGATGCCGCAGCCCGTGCAGAAGGTCCAGATTACGCCGATGATGCAGCTGGCTCTCTTCACCGTCATGATATTGTGGTATCTCAGTGCGTAGAATATGGTAACGTACCTGCAGATAACATCACAGATACATTTATGACAGTGATAGAGTACACAACATACAACTGAGGAATTGGAATTATTATTCAACCAGCAAGAATTTCTGCTGCACATTTCTTAAGCTGTTCTCCACAGCTGATTCTGCTTAGCACTCCCATAAGACTGCATCTGTTCGAGTGACAAACCACCAAAATTAGTTCAGATTCTGCCAAAAATATTTGGTAAATTAATAAAAACAAAATACTTTTGTTGAAAAGATATCAAGGAATCTCAGTAAACATCCACCAGAAATAGTGTCGTGTAAAATAGATTTTAAAAAATAGATTTTTGGCCCTAAAAACCACTTCTACTCTCTTTGACCTTCACTGTTTTCTTTAATATTTCATCTGCCCAAGGTTCTCTTGACTTCAACTAGTGGATTTATACTGTTTCTTTTGTTTTCTTTCTTGAACTCCAACCAATTCAACCATCAATCTATGGCTTTCACAAGCGGCTGCTACTCACAGAATGCTTTTCTCTCTTATCCCAGTAGGCAATTTTGTGTTTTAATCACAGAAGAAAAGCAAGTTTTTGAAATACCTCGCCTAAGCCTGAGTGAAATCAATCTACTACTTTGTGTGATGTTCTTAGTTTTCTGTAAAGTAAAAGACAATGACCATATCTCCACCTGGGCCGTGACTGCTTTACAGCTGCTCTTGATCACCTCATGTGGATTCATTATCACCTGTCAGTACTGTGATTAAGTAGAGTAAAGTAAAGTGAACATGTTGGTCCTGTCTGTCTGTTAAGAGAACCCTGACAGTCACGCATGCAGCCAGGCATAGCTCTGATGATTTATGAGGACTTACTGTAGGGACCCCTCACATACCTATATGACATATGTTTAGAGAACAAAACAAAAGCAAATGTTCTCAATTACAGGATGTACCAGTAGCACTGTTTTTCTAAAGAGAGCTACTGGAAAAATGCAGAACTTGCACATTTTTCTGCAGTTCTGAGTATTTTTCTAACAAAGGTTTTTGAGATGAAATATTGCACTGCAGCAATGATACAGTGTTGTGATATGGTTCAACTTTCTAATTAAAAAAAGAAAACTTTGACTCCAAGCCTGGAAGAACATTAGGCTCTTGAACATGCAGCTGTCATTTGTCACCCTGCTGTATATTATTACTTCTGTTGCTGTGATTGGTTTTCTCAAATGGTTTGAAAAGCTTTGATGATGCAACAGTGACACCACACAGAGCCACCTGGGAGTCGACAAAGTAATAGTAGCTGTTTGACTCATCCACACGTATGTATTTTCTGTTCCTATGGCCCACAGTGCCAATCATCTGCAGGGAGCGATGCTGTGACGCTGAAACCTTTGTTCACACCTTAAGAGTGAATCTGAGTGAAAATTGTCACCTAGCTATTCTATTCATATTGAACAACATCAGCTAACCTGACGTCATGTTTCCTGGCCACAGCTGATAACTTAGTCTTCTGCTCCATCTGAGATAAGCGCACACAAACATTCTGCACAAACACTGATGTACTGTCTGTCTTTTTCTTTGTATTGGAAGCATTTAATACAGACTGTATGAAGGAAGAATGCTGGTGTAAAGTCTAATCTGAGTCCAGGTTTCTACAGTTATACTGCCTGGAGCCCTGGGCATCATACGGCTCGTGGACCACATCCAGCTCTAGGATTCTCTCTGACTGGCCCGCTTGAGAGTGTTGTTAAATTACTGGTCAAAAAAGGTGCACAAGGAAGACCTGCATGGCTTTTATTTTGAAGGTAACATTTTGATTTGGTTTCTAAACTAATGCAGTGTGTGTGCATTTTTAACTTTGCAGATGTTTTTACCGTTGGCCTTTACACAAAGAAATTTCTCCCTAATCCCTTAAAATCTACGGCTTATATTGGGAAGATTTAAATTCCCAATATAAGCTGTGTCAAATCCCTGCTTGCAAAGATTGCAGGTTTGATGAATATTCTTTATTCACAGGTCTTAATACTCAAGCCTATTGGCATGCGCCTGGTTGAAACCAAGATTGACTGTTTGACCTTTCTTAGTCTAAACCAAAGCTAACAGCTAAAAACTTTTTATGAATTTAAAGGCAGAATAAAAAATAAAAAATCTTTTATGCAACTGTCCTGCAGCAGTTCCATTGTTCCATTTCACATGGTCCTCGAATGACAACTCATTCAAAGTCAAAGTTTGCTTTTATGGAATTCCTTTATTTTATCTCTGTAACCTCCTGGTGCTGTCTTGTTCATGCTTTACTTTAAGGTGATGTGAATTATTCTTCTCAATATTTCCTTTATCTGCAAATGATCTAGTGTTCCTTCCTTTGTCTTTAACGACAGAACTCTTTTGCTTATATAAACGCCCCCTGACCCCTTTTAGTGACATTAAAAAAAGTTTAATTGTTGCAATTCCTACTGCAGAAAATTCTGAGCATAAAGTTATTTTCCAATAAATACGATTGTTTTCAAGGCCAGGTTTCCTTGTGAGAAATTCTTAAAACTGAATCTTGAGTATCCATGGTCGTATGTTACATATATAATGGATTTATTCACTTTTCTATTCTGTGTTCTTTGTTACTGTCAAGTACTTTGTGTGTTCTTCAGGTACCTGTCTACGGCGATGGCCAACAGGCTGCACATGGACGCCACCACAGAGGTGCAGATCATACAGTCAAAGACGGTGTCCATCTGCCGGATGAAGTGGTCCTCCACCACCAGCTGTCCATTATGGAGAAGGTAAATGATGATGGCCTCCAAGGCGTTGGACACGCTCACCAGCATGTCGGCTACAGCCAGACTGAGACAAGGAGCAGACACGTTAGTTCAACCTTTGATCTCTGAAATGTAGTGGATGATGATGAAGAAGAAATGTTAAACTGCACTCTAGTCCTGAAAAAAAAAAGGTCCAGAAAAAAAGGGTGAACACAGTGGATACTAGTCCACTGTGTTTCACCTTTTTTTTCGAACTTTTTTTCCTTTTCCACAAATTAATACATTTTGTTGGCGTGGATGAAAATAGATTTAAAACTATAGAAAGAAAATTAAAATGTATATAATTTTTAAATGGAGGTGGAGCTGGAATTACATCCCTGACCCTCCTTTTAAAAACACTTTGGTAAACTGAGTTTGTTTGCAGAAAACAGAAGACTCTACCCTTTGCAATCACTTCACCTTGTCCTCAAACTGTCTTCAGTATATACAGCGAAAAGAAAATGTCAAGGAGACAATGAAGCAAGAACATTTAGTCCCTGTGTCTATCATAGCAAGCGATTAAGATTTAATTACTGGAGAAATAAACTGTTTCTTGTTCCTCTGTAATTACACTGTGACCTTTAGATTCACATCCACGTCAGAAAAACATTATTATTATTATTATTATTATCCTCTCTATTACTGTAGCTATAGTACAGTTCTAACTGCAGCATTGTGTAACAGCTGGGCCTTTACTTTATACAGAAGAAAGGTTTAAATCAGATTGGATTGACACAAATGGTCAGAATTGATTGAGTGGAAACAAAATCAACAAAAAAGACAACGTTATTATTTTATTTGTTTTGTATCTTTTTTGTAGCATCTCTGACAAAAGTAAATGTTAATTTAGGAATGTAGCCTTGTAATTGTGTTTGCACTTAGAGGCTAGAGCAGTGGTCGGGAAAGTCATATATTTTATAATGTGTTTTCGTGAGATCCAATATTTCAAAACCAATAATTCTAGAGTATAATAAGCCTCTGAATAATAAGTATTTTTCTTTTTTTTAATAATAATGCCGTTATACTGAAGTTTTCCGATACATAAAATACTTCCTACCATTAATGCGACTTCTGGTGCTGCATACATTTATTTTTTTATAAATATATGGTTCCACTGGCCATACAAAACCGTTTATCACACACCAGAAAAGAAGAATGTTAATTTATCGTACGGTCATTTAATGCAACACCCTTTGCAGTTTAGGGTCGTGAACCCTGTGGAGCAGCAGTCCAGCTCTGCTGGCCTTATGGCAGGTGCACATGTTAGGAGGTCCGTCAAATGCATGAAAATGTTTTTTTAAAGATTATTTCAACACTATGATTTCTGTGATGTTTTACTTGAGTATCATGGGAATTATTTATTACTGATTGTGTTAAAAAATTCCAGCTAAGATTGATCTGAGACCCATATGTAGTCATCAAAAGAGCCACATCTGGCTCACGAGACGTAGGTTCCCAACCCCTGGGCTAGAGGAACTGAGCATAATATACAGTATATTGCTCACTGAATCACAAGTCACCTGCAGACAAAGAAGTACATGGGTGAATGGAGGTTCTTGTTCTTCACAATAGCCGTGATGACCAGGATGTTCTCCAGGAGGGAGATGAGCCCCAGGATGAGAAAGACCTGAGGACAGACATTAAAAAATAGATGATTAAAACTAAATAAAGCACAGCAGTGGATTCAGAGCTGAGAGTTATGATCTGCAGAACAGATAATAAAAATGAAAGGTCGCAGGAACATTTTTAATGAGAAAGATCAGAAATACCACAAATTAATTTAAAAAGAATACCAAAGTTAAGAAGAATAAAATCTCATCTCAAAATTAAAACTTGTTGTAAAATAAAGAACATAAGCCTTTCTGCCTCAATGCTCTCAGCATGTGGATGAGTCACACTTTAATGTTTATACAGTCAAAGGTTATTCACACTCAAAAAGTCGAACTACTGAGAGAAAAAAAGGAGTTTCTTTCTAAATGTACTATGGCACATAATTATATATATTTCCCAAAAAATATATTTCCACAGCACTGTGAAAGTTTATTAAAAAAACTTATATGAGTTGGGAATAACTCTGATCATTTAGGTGTGAGACCCCTAAAGTATATTATATTTTAAATATATATATTTATAAGTTAAATATGAAATGAGCATTTATTCATTGTTATATGACCATTGTCTTTAGTAGCTGCTGTAATCTGGAGATGTTTGTGATCATGTTCATGTTTATCCTTTAGGAGGACAAACGGCAGTTGATCTGTTGAACAGCCTACGTCTGCGGCCTACACTTCACATCTGACTTTGAAAACCTCACATCCTACATCACAAACCTCTACAGCGATGTTGAGCTGCTCGCATGCTGCAGGTTTGGTGGTGCTGCTCCTGTCCGAGGGCAGCGGAGGAGACAGGGTGTAGTTCTGGTGGTAGTAGTAGGAGTAAGCCCAGGAGGAGTTCCCCATCGAGCCGTCCTCCTCATGGTAATAAAGCTCCTCTGAGACGTTCATTCTGGATGTGGCTCTGGTCTAAATCACTATACTTTTATAGCGAAAGTCATTTTCCAAAGACACTGAAAAGGAAAAAAAAGTGAAAAAGTGAGCTGAGGTCATTTAATGGAACAGAAGCTGTAGCTCATAGATTTGATGATCTGCTTCTGATTGGTTGATTTGACTTTAACGGTTATGGGATCTTCCTGCTACTGCTGTCCTGATTCTTCACTTCTGCTTTTCTTCATGCCATCTTTTCTTGTAACTGTCTGTCTTGTCCTGATGCTTTTTAAGTATCTCAGTTCAGATTGATTTGTTCCCTCCTTGTCTACAGAACCTGAACGGTGTTCTTCCCTGTTGTTTGTGCCTTATTTTCCTCATGTTTTCGCGTCCTCAGGTTTCGCATTTCTGATTTTGGATGTCATTGCCTACTGCCTGGACCCAGTTGCTGTTTCGAGAGATGATTGGTAGGTCAGTATTTTATTATTTATTTATTGTTTTGTCTTCTAGAGAGAGAAGACGATAGGACGATCCACATAAAAAAAGAAATATGAGACATAAAAATGGTATGTGGGTTTTTTATGGCCAGGTCAGGTAAATTTATTTGAAATGAAGTGACTAATTTAGAAAGAAATTCCACTTGAAATATTTGAATTTACCCACTGTTCTCATGATGAGTGAGTAATTAGATTTAAATGTAAAACCTGGCTGAAATAGCTGAGAACTATTATCATTATAAATTAGTTTTAAGAAATGGAAAAATATTCTAAATGCCATATCTTTCTGGCCCTCTGCCATCCTGTCTGTCTGCCTTAGGTAACTAGTTACAACCTGCTCACCTGTATATATATGTGCCTGTCCTGGTGGCTGAGTCCCATTGTGTTTGGCCATAACTGTAACTAGGACTATTACATGTTCATGTCTGGCTGGTGACGGTTTATTTAGATTTTTTTCTAGTTGGCTATGTGCTGGACCATAACTTTATTCAATAGCAAATTATCTCCTAAAAATGTAAGATATCAGTTAAGATTGAGTTAACGTTAAACCAGTAAAACCAGGAAGCAACTACATGTTGCACATTTATTTACACAACCTTCAAGGATGAATAGATAATAACATACTTTCAGTCTTATTACAACATGGACCAACAATAAATCTACAACAGACCAGCTCAATAGTATTGACATCTAATAGGATGTTTTGCAATTGAATTAGAACCAAGAACAAAACCTTGTGGAACGTTGTTTGTTACATGAAGATGAATTTATTTTTGCTTGCATGTAAATATTTTTACAGAAATTACATGAGCTGTTTAAAATCTTATCTTATCAATTTAACATTTTAACAATTTAATTTGGCTAACCTTAAATAGCATGTTGTCAAATTACCGAGGGATTTTTTTATGGCACATAAAAAGAACGTCTTTCTTTATTACCACCGCCTGTGGGCACGTCCTGTGATCCTGAGGAAACCTTCAATCGTTGGCCTTCATTAGCTTCACACGCTATTCACACTAGCTTACTCTAATCTAGCCCACTACAGTGGCATCATGCAGCAAAACATCAGTCAGCTGGTTTTTTAACAAGCTGAAAATCACACAAACATATTCCTAAAAAACAAAGACAGGATTCTCTTGTACTTGCCTTGTGACAAAAGGACTCGGGGAACATGAGGCACACCAACCACAGAAGCAGATCTTAATGTGCAATCAGTGTAACTCATCAAATTCAATATTGTGGTTTTTTGTGAATAATATATTTTTACACACCCTGTTTTTAAAGCTAGCGCAGGGAGCTCAAAACCACTTTTTTAAAAAATGAATTCTTGCTCCATGCTGCTTTCTCCCTGATAATACATTTGATGTTGAATTGTTCCACTGTTTCCCACTGCTGCAGAGGGGAATTTAAATGAATACAGACTGTGCCAATGTCAATATGTGGATCACAATCTCAGAGGAGAGAGCAGTCCCAAATAATGTATTTTCAGTTCATCGTGATCAAATAAACAAGGCGCTAAAAAGTCCATGAAATGTTTTTAAAGTTTAAACGCTTTCCCTCCCTACTTATAATAAAACAAACATTATTGCGGAGATCGTGGCAGGTTCAAATGTTGAATTAGAAATGTCTTCTAGTAAATCCATTGCTTTGAAGCCAGTAATGTTTTCCAGAGGTGTCTGCAAGTGGGGACGTTCTGATTGAGGCTTTTCCAGGCGTTCTTAACACTTGATCCAGAGGCCGTACATTTAGACTCTCCAAGTCTTTAACATAAGCCCAGACTCACTGAGATTCTCATGTGGGAAAAGTCCAATTTGGGTAAAAGACTCCTAACATTTAAGCCTCCAAAATATTATCACTCCTCATAGTTTGAATTCATGCTCAGGCACCAGTTATGTGCAAGTTGTTTTTCCCTGAGTTTCTTCATGTCCTCAGATAATTACTGATCCTTATCGGTTATTAAAAACACAAACACAACTTTCATACAGATGCTATCAAAGTTCACACTGATCATTCAGTGTGGGTTGTTACAGATGGGTGTGAGAGAAATCAGGAAAAGAGGCAGAGAAGAGAAGAGTGTTGAGATCAGATGAGTTCAGACATGAACTTACAGTATATCTCAGCAGTTCCAAGTAATATCACAGTAATGGACCTTAAATATATATACACTTACAAGGTTACAAACGCCTCATGTCATTTTACTATTTCACTGAGTTATGTGGTGAAAGAGACGTTTTTTGGACAAGGACAGTAGCCAGAAGAGACTCCTAAAATGTCTGGACAATATAAAATATAAAAAAATAGATAAAGCTAAAAACATTGGCAGGCAAATAAAACCCATACTGGCAAATGAAAAGAGGGCTAAAGCTAATTCTGCATGACGCCCACAGGCTGAGCTCAGTAGATAAAGTAATTAACCTTTGTTTCAGGGTTAAATTAATACACTGTCGAGCTGTTAAGCCTTGGCTTTATGGGCATTAATGTGCTTTAAAGACAAATGTTGCTGCACAAATGGTTAGGGGCGCATTTCATTTTTTATTGTTCTTGTTGCCGGGGGGAGGGATTTAATTTCACGACAAAATGACACAGCGTTTTATTTCAACTCTTTCTGTTATTAAGTTTTTTTTTTTTCATTTAACTTGCAATTATCTTCTTGAAGCAGATTCTGCTCCGAGCCCCAGGGGTTCATTTGAAGGTTGTTTAGGCAGATGAATTACACAGTAATCTACTTAATGGTTTTGGGAGAGTTGTAGTTTTAATATTAATAATTAAACTGTTTACTAAACCAAACTGTAGCTCAAACCTTAACCTAACATTTTTTCCATTTAGAGTGAGCTGATTCCATGTATTTCCATGGTAACCCCTTATGATGTTTTTTTTAAGAAAAACTAAGTACTTTATTGCTGGGTCAAGTGTAGTTATGTCCACAGATATTGAACTCCATAATCGTATTAATAAATGATAAATATTTGAAGAATTTCAGCCATTTTCTCTGACAACCATCTTGGTTAACATCAGACGACAACATGTTTCTGATAATGTTTGTCCAAAGTTAAAATTTAGTGATCTCATACAGTAGTTGGATAAATCTAAGTCTTCTTTTCAGTATTACAAGTACAATTCAAATCCTTTTTCAAAACAGAATATCTGTAAAGTCAAGCTGAACTACTTGTTCTGTAGCACACCTTGTTCTGTAGCACACTCCTCCAATCAGGTACAATCTAAACTTCAGTAAGTTGCATTCCTGATTGGCTTGCATGACATGATTCAAATCCGTATTACTGCCTGTTCTTCCACCTATTATCAACCTGTAGACTCAAGAGGTTCAGGATATTAGGTCATCACTCTTCGTTCTGCATTCAGGTAACTTTGAGACAGTAATGAAGCCAGAGCCTTGATACCAACAGTAATGTCCTGAAGCCTTTTCATATTTTCCAGCTGCTGCTGTAATAAACATGATAACAAATGGACGGGTGTATGATTCAAAGAGAGATGTACGATATAAAGTATTATGTCCTACTTTAGATTTGTACTAGGATGCAAGGTACTTTGATAAGGAGGTACATTTCACCAGATTTATATACTGAGACACAGAGGTATACAGCTAGGCCTCCAGAGACCTGTGTCGTGTGTGTGTTTTTATTACATTTGCCACCAGTCTCCGTTATTTATAATATAACATGCAGTAAATACAGTAATTAGCAGAGCACAGGAACTTAATAAAGACATGTTTTACAGTAAAGCATGTGGACATTTTTCGAGATGTATTTACTGTATTGTCTTTTTTGCATTAAACTACATGTCATTTTCATATGATTGGATGGAGCATGTGGGTTGACAGTACTTCTCAAATAGTGGTGCAAGCCCCCTTGGGGTGCGTGGTGAGGCGCTTCCAATGGAATATGGCACGCTGGACATAAGTGTACCACAACAAGCCTCCAGTCACTGGGTGGCAGCAAATCATACAGTGGTTTGTACAGATAAAAATATACACGTTATCAGGTTCTCAGTATTTAGGGTTGGAGGATTGTGAAAACATTTCTGTCCTCCAGGGGATGGGCATGACAGAAAATCATTAAGAAACACTGGACTAAGAGTTCACTGAGAGGACATCTTTGATGTCCATCATTTTTAGATGACTAGATAAATCACAAGCAAAAGCAAAACAAGCACACGTGCAAACACAAGGAAACATACATACGCATGTTTATTCATCACTGATAAAACGTAGAGCACTACAGATATATTCTTCACTAAAGACCGACACCTTCTATGCATCAGCTGATGGTAAAACAATGAGTTTCTTTCTTGTATATCACTTTTGGGGTCAACAGAAAAATGCAGTTTTAGCTACAGCACCACCAACAGCCGAAGAAGATCAGACACTGGTCATTTTTCACTTTGTCGTTATCATCTCGTCTCCACAGCTCTTTTCCTTTAGCTCTGTTCTGCTTCTGTGACTCCTCACTATTATTCTATCTATTCTACTGTTATTTCATTTTCTGATCTATTTCCTTAATACAGAACACCTGACTTGGGCTGACCAACATGATGGCCTCATTCTACATTCCACATTCTACCCAAAGTGCATCCCAGCAAATTTGTTCCAATTTTTGACCAAGTCCACATTCTACCCAAAGTGCATCCCAGGATCAAATGATAAGACAAACCTTCTACAGAGAGCAGAACGTTTGATCTCCTGAGGTAACACAGTTGCAACTAAACAAATATACAATGGTTTAATTGGTTTTGATGTCTGTGCTTTTAACAGAAGAGACAGTTGTTGTTGTTTTTTTGTTTGTTTTTGAGTGGAAAAAAACCCCACTTACATATTTAAAAAAATTAAATAACAAAAATAGCCTAGCGCTGGTCTAGAGGGAAAGGTTTTTTGTTTGTTT